CCTATACCACAAATGTAAGAATCCTCCTGTTATGTGTACATATGCTTTGGATGGATGATGAATTTTGTGTATGCGTGTAATTCATGTTTTGTCTTTTGTTTCTTATAATTTTGTGGAAGTTCTAGAGAAGATCAAGGCACTTGTTTCTTTTGAGCACAACCATTTCCAAATACAAATATACCCGTGAGCAGAGAGTATTCGTAACCCATTTTTGAGCCTAAACAGTTGAATCTGCTTAAAATAAAGCGAGAGTTCAAAAATCTTGTTCTTGAAACCTTGGAAATTTTGATTAATTGTTCTTTTGCCGTAAAAAGTAAGAGCATTCACTTAGGGGACGAGAAAAGACAAGTTGGGGAGAACGAATATGTAAAGTGGTAATTTGTCACAACTCTTGAAAAGCTAAGCAAGCATTGAAAAGAAAAAATGAAAAAGAGAAACACTCGCTTTTGTGAATACGGTGTAGAAAAAAAAAATGAAAACGAATGCTTGCTTGGTAGAAAAATATTGAAAAACAAAGTGAGTTGTGAAGGGTTCAAATGAGGAACTTGTGAAACAAAGTTGAAGATGTGTAAATAGTTGTATAGTGAATGTCTCTTTTGCATCGGAAATTTCGTTTCAATGGCTTTAGATATATCCCTTGTTTGTTAACCCGACCAAGCTACAACCCTTTAAGTCCTATGTGATCTTGAGCTTCCATAATTTTGTTGTGGACATTTAGATATTGTATGAATTATATAGTATTGCATTATTCGTCATTTGAGTGAATCTTTGTCCTACGCTTGCATGCATATTTTTGCATCAATCCTTTTTCGAAGTGGAGTGTTAGAATGACATGTCATGAGATTTAGTTGTTGCTTGAAGCATTGTTTAAATTGTTCTTAGAATTTAGTTCTTGGACATTATCTATTGTGGAATTGTGTAATTGTTTGCCTTGTTGCACATGTTGTGTATTTGAGCCGAATATTTTCACTTGGATTGAATTGGTCTTAAGCAAATTCTCCTTTTTGTTTTGAGAGGCATACTTTGCTTGAGGACATGCAAATAAGTAGTTGGGGAGAGTTGTTAGATCCCAATTAGATTAGTTATTTGACTTCTTTTTAGTAGTATTTTTAATCATTTTCATCTAATAATATTTGATTTAGTGGTCAAATTTGTTTACTTTCATTTTGATGTGATCCAAGTGAATGGTGTGTGTAATGTTGCTGTTAGTGTGCAGGATTGACACTAATAAGAGCACCTTGGGAGACAAGACAAAGCAACTTGGAGTATGTTGCAAATCAAGGCATTCGCCTAGCGAAGCTCAGCGAGTGCCAGCGAATGTTCGCCTGGCGAGTGTTGGCGAGCTGGAGCGAATAATTCAGAATTAACTCCCAGACTTAAATGATAGGAAGTTCGCCAGGCAAAGGTACCAGCGAAGCTTCGCTGCCTTTCGTCTGGCGAAGGTGCTGGCGAAGAAGTGGTAGCTTTCCTCATGCAGATTCCAGTAGCAAAACCACCCAAAGTTCGCCTGGCGAGTGATTCGTTCGCCTGGCGAATACACGATACCTCAGAGGGCGGTTTGCTAACCTGAGGCACTTTGAAGTGCCAAGTTTTTTTTGGTTCGCCTGGCGAAGGTCATGGTTCGCCTGGAGAATGTGCGCAGACAACACATCTTTTGTACTTTATTAGTTGCTTTATATAGCCCATACCTTGTATTTTGGAGGGGGATCATCTTGTAACATTAATTTAGAGCTCTAGAACCCTAAAAACATCAGTTCTTCTTCATTTTTGCTGATTTTGTACAATCAAGGAGAAGTGGAATCACATCCTTCATCGATTCTTCGAAGTGGATGTTCTTCATCTTCTCCATTTTCTTCTACTCCAAGCTACCATGAGAATGAGTAGCTAAGTTCATCTTGTTGTCAAGGTTAAATGTAGGTAATCATTTAACTTTGTATGTGTATGGATGATCCTCATTTGTAAACTCTTGGATGATTAATATATGTTGAAAACCTTGTTTCATTTACAATCTTTTGTGTTGGTTAATGATTGAGAAATATTCTCCAACTCTTGACCTAGGTTTTCATCCTTCTCTTTTCTTGAGTTAGAGATAGTCTTGGATGGTCTTGTTCACTTAAAATGTTAAGCTTTAAAGTTGTCATTTTGATAGATTGTGTGAGAGATCAACAATGGATCAAAATGGTAAACATCACAATATGAGTTAGAGATAATCATATTGAGAGGATATTGTGAATGTGTTGATCATTAAAAAGAGTTTATGAAATGTTTATTGGAATTATGCATGCAAAGTGATTACCGAAACCTAACTTTGGCAATCTTTATTCAAACCGACAAACCCTAATTTTTACCGTTGTTTATAACTTTTTATGCAAGATACCGACTTTAAAACCAAACCCCTTTGATATTATAAAACTACAAATTTAACAACTGTCGAACGGCGAAAAAATCTTATATTCCCTGTGGAGACGATAATACAAACCCGACAGTTTACCACTGTTCTAACACCTTCACATCAGAGAAGCTAGGATTAAGTGTATGCAATTGTGTAAGGTTTAGTGCTCTAGCCTTCATGTGTTTTAGTTATTTGTGAGTCATTCACTCATTGTCTTAATGTGTGAATTGGACTAAGTTCAGTATTGTAATTGGTTCACTCAAAGCTTGTAAGCAAGAGTGTAGTGTACTTAATTGAAGCTTTTAAGAAAGATCAAGTTGTGTCTTTGAATAGTGTGTTCTAAAGTCTTTTTGTTTGTTGTTGTTATCACTGTTGTGATTGAGGGGGAGTGAGAGGTGTCTCTTATTCAGGAGTATCCTAGGTAGAAATTGAAAGGGTAGAGATTAGGTGAGAAGATGGTAAACTAGAGAGAGTCTACTATATATCTTCAAACTAATTCTACTTAGTGGATTTCCTTCCTGGCTTGGTAGCCCCCAGACGTAGGTGTGTTTTCACCGAACTGGGTTAACAATTGTTTGTGTCATTTTACTATTGTTATCTGTTTGTCCTTGTTCTTATTGGTGATTGTACAGATATTAGTGTCGTAACATCGCCTTCGACATCTAAAATATGATACTAGAATTTCAAAGACATTATAAGACATATCAATAACAATACAAAAGGAATTATAAGCCATTGTCAGTAAGCTATTATAAGCCACATCAATTACATTACAAAATACATTATAAGTCATGTCAGTAAGCCATTATAAGGCATAACAAATATCACAACAAACATCAAGGTTGACTTGAAACAAACTTCCCACCCTTTTGAAGTTTTTTTTTTGGGTGGTGGCTGACTTGAAACTATTTGTTGTGGCGGCTGACTTGAAACAGATGGTTGTGGTGGCTGACTTTAATCAGATGGTTGTGGTGGCTGACTAACAACTGTGAAACATGCAGCTAAAGAAATCTTATTGGTACGAATCAAAATGGTTAATAGACCAATGTGCAACAAATTATAAAGTTAAGGGACTTAGAAGCATAAACAATATTCAATAGCAGAAAGCCATTATAAGGCATATGTGTGTGTGTGTGTGTGTGTGTGTGTGTGTGTGTGTGTGTGTGTGTGTGTGTGTGTGTGTGTGTGTAACAAGTTATAAAGTTATGGGACTTGGAAGCCTAAACAATATTTAATAACAAAAAGTCATTATAAGGCATATATATATATATATATATATATATATATATATATATATATATATATATATATATATATATATATATATATATATATATATATATATATATATATATATATATATATATATATATATATATATATATATATATATATATATATATATATATATATATATATATATATATATATATATATATATATATATATATATATATATATATATATATATATATATATATATATATATATATATATCACATTCTAGACAGTGATGCAAAAAACATTATAAGCCATTATAAGACATATCAATAACATTACAGAAAGACACGATAAGCCATTATAAGGCACATCAATTACATTACAAAAAGGCATTATAAGTCATGTTAGTAAGCCATTATAAGGCATAATAAACATCACAACAAACATCAAGGTTTACTTGAAATAGGCGTGCCACCCTTTTGAAGTTTTTTTTTCTTTTTGGGTGGTAGGTGACATGAAACTGTTAGTTATGGCGGTTGACTTGAAACAAAAGGTTGTGGTGGCTGACTTTAAACATATGGTTGTGGTGGCTGACTTGAAATAGATGGTTCTGGTGGCTGACTTGAAATAGATGGTTCTGGTGGCTGGCTTAAAATAGTTGGTTGTGATGGTTGTGGAGTTGGTGCTTATGGTTCATAAGTTGATGTTCTTTCTAGTACTTGACTTGGAGATGCATGTGGTTGTGGTAGTTTATAAATTGCCTTGTTATGATCATCCTAGTGGCAACGACTGCACTTGGTTCCATGTTTTGCTCGTTTCAAGTGTGTCTCATCCATCACGATTTCTCTAGCTTCTTTATTCCTCTTTTTCTTAGGCCTTCTAGGTTGTCTCTTTATTAGTGGTGGTTGGAGATCAACAATATCAAATTTTATCCATAAAACTTCCCCATTAACTAGATAAATAACTGATGTATAACAAGCTTCATAGGGTTCCTTCTTATAGCAGTTAGGTATAAAATCATCAATTTATAAATGTTGACCTTTCATGCATGACATTGCATAACAACATGGAACCCTGTCAGCATCCACATTCTACATGAGCATTCTTTCTTGAAAAGATTGACATCATATTTTTCTCCATTGAGTGATATATGCCTAACCTCATAGTCATATTCACTTGCACTTCTGTAAAATACAATGAATATTTAATATAAGCCAATTTAATGTTATCCAATTTAATATTCAACATAGGCATTTAACATAGTAAAAGGACATCAAATTAATCATTACCTCACAATCCAATGGTTGGTTTTCTGTGATTCCCTTTCCATCCTTTTTTTAATGTTTGGCAGTATTGTGCTTTAATATTTGCCAATCTTTTGCATATCTTATTCCCATCTTTGCATTAGATACACTCTAATTTCTTCAAGCGTTGTCACAATTGCCTTGGCTCTAGTAGCAATAAAGACAGGGTTGAATGCCTCAGACATATTATTGGCCAAAGTGTCACAGCTTATACTTGTCCCGAACCTTGATTTGCTCCAGAATCTTGGTGGAATATTGATGAGATGTTTGAATGCCACTTCATTAACTCCCTTTATTTGAAACATTATTTTCTCCGAAGAATTCACATGACTCGCAGTTGTAGCCCTCCACATCAATTCCTTAGACCAGGGAACTCCTTCCTGAACTTGCTATATAAATGCCTGCAACATTGAAGGGACTAAAGTGAAATATATAAACAACTTCAAGGACTATAATGTTATAGTTTATATAGATTAGTAGCAGACTTAAATATTGCATACTTAAAAAATGCAAACAATTTATACAGATCAGTAGCATACTTAAATAATGCAAACATTTCATACAAATAAAGGTATACCTAACATAAAACCTCTAGTCAACATTACCAACATTCTCCTAAATGTTACAGCTTGTCCCCTTATCACCCGCATTAGTCCCCAAATTTGTACTCTCTTGCACCACATTGGTCTCCACATCAGTTTCATTAACTCCTAACTCAGCTCCCACATTTGTACTTTCTTGCACCATATTGGTTCCCACACCAGTTTCATTAACTCCTGAATCAGCTCCCACGTCCACAACAACTTCATCATGCAATTCTAATAAAATAATCAGTACATCAATAATGTCAGGTTATGAAACAGGATGAGTAACATATAAATGACATTCCGTAGTCATTACTGTAATTGTTTTCATCCTCTCAGTTCCATTATCATCCTCCAACAACACAATATCACAAGCATTTATTTCATTGTAATACCAAAGTTTATCTATATTTGGATAATCTAAATCTTTTAACTTGCCTAAAATTTCATAGTAACTCCAATAATTCAGATCAACATCCCAAATGGTCTCTAACCCTTTATACCCTTACGTTGTGAAGTTAGCAAACTCCATAGAAAATTCACCAGAATGATGAACAACACACTTAAATATCTGTAAGAACAGAGTATGCCTAAGAGGGGGGGGGGTGAATTAGGACTTTTGAAATTTTTCCGGTTTTTATATGGTTCTTGGAAATATACTGGATGGTGTTCTTGGTTATGGAAAGCAGTAAATCAACAGAAAGAAAAAAAGACACAGAATTTATAGTGGTTCCCCTCACAATCCGAGAGTACTCCACTCCCCTTTCAACATGAAAGAGAGTTTTCACTATTGTTTAAAACAGTACAACCTATCACACCATCAACCGGTGAGGCCTACTATCAAACAATCAAACTAACAAGTGTACAAGAACAATCCTCTTGTAAACACTCACCCTTGTGTCCAACAATCCTGGATCACAAGTCAAAAAATAAAATAATTGTAATGAATTTGGTTTGAGAATAACTATCAAAGTGATCTTCTCCAATGAATCAAAATTCACTCTTTGTAATTTTTCAATACAAGTGTTCAATGAATATGAAATTTTCAATGCAAGTATGAACACTTTTTGAAAAATGAATTTGATTCCAAGACAATTTTAAAATGAGTATTGGAGGTTGAAAAGTTTTTGAGTTATGTTCTATTGGTTGTTTTTTAAAAATGAAAAACTCAGAATTTATATGAGTAAAATAACCTTTCAGAAAAGGTATAATTTTAAAAGATTCAAACCATGAAAAGGTATGTTTTTTAAAATAATTTTTGAACTTGAAACAAAGCAATTTTTCACTGCACGTTCAGTGTTAATCGGTTAACCCATATGGTTAATCGGTTAACACTGGTACGTTAGCCCAGAAAATTCAAAATTCAAATTGGTTAACCGGTTAACCTGTATGGTTAATCGGTTAACACTGCTAATTTTCAGAAAAATGCTTTTTTTTTAAAATAATGTTATACCATTTTTAAGGTTTCAAAAACATGCTTATGTATTATGCACAAATGATTGATGTTTTTGAACACTTGTATATCAAATTATAAAGGTGGATTTGATATACCAGTAATGCAGCCAAGTCTGGAAGAATCATAGTTCCATATGTAGCTTGACTTGAAAGATAGCTTGACTTGATCTTGATAACTTTGAACGGCTTGCCTTTTTGCAATCAAGAGATGACTTTGAGTAGTATTGACATCATCAAAACTTGAGACTGAAGCATGCTTCTACATTCTCCCCCTTTTTGATGATGGCAATCAAAAATGTTGTGCGATATCTCTTGGTTCTTGATCTGGTTCTCCCCCTATGTCTAGCAACTCCCCCTATCTTAACAGAGGAAAAGAAATCTGCACACAGAGAGACATTAAAAGAACCAAGCTCTTCTCCCCCTTTGACATCAGCAAAAAGGAAGAGCTTTCAAAGAAATCACAAGATAGCAGTATATAGTAATAAGCACATGCAAAGCCAAGTAAACACAAAGCACAAACAATAGTACATATAAAATGCAACAAATAGAAATTGTACTTGTTACAATAAAACATAGTTCAAATGAAAGCATAAAAACTTAAAACTAGATAGCAAAGCAATAAAAACAACAGCAGCAACATATTCTCTAAAAATCCTCATCCGCCATATCCTCCTCCTCTTCTTCATCATCACTATCAACCTCTTCTTCAATCTCGTCGTCCACAACTCGGGTGCTGGAATGTGAAGGGTTAAGAATGAGGTTTCTAAGGGAGGCAATTGCTCGGGAGGTCTCTCTATGCATATTCATGGATTCTCGATGCTGGTTCATCATGGTTGTGTAGAGAAACTCACTGGTAAGACCCCCTTCAGGCATTGGATAAGCGTGATGCACAGGACCGTCATCAGTATACCTGTAGGTACCGTCAGCCGCCTTGATGATTCCAGTATTCTTCACAATATTAATCTCATTGATCTCATTAGTTGTAGGTTTCATCTTGGAGGATGGTTCTCTGTTGAGGTCAAGTTCAGTTAATTCCAGAATTCTAGAAACCAAGCGAGCATACGGCAGCCGGGTAATGCAATGAAGTTGTTGCTGCAGATGATACATAATAGTCAAAATCCAATTGACTCTGATGCGATTCTTAATAGCAAAGATCAGCTGCATTTCCAAGTCGTTGATCTGAGAGTGATTTGAGTCCTTTGGAATGAGGACATAGCAGATAATGTAGTGAAGCATTCGATCAGATACTGTCAGATTCTTGGCATAGCATAGCATACGAGCAGTGCGAGAGTTTGCAATAACGGTTTCTTTTTGGGAACCTGCAAATCTGATAGTAATACTCCATTTTATCATAGTTTGCCCAGGGTCCATCTACATGGTTTACACATTTCCTCAGGAAGCATCCCTTTGATGGAATCTTAAGGTGTCTAGCAAGGGTGGATAAATTCTCAACAAACTCATGATCTCTAATGGTGGACCGAATCATGTGGTTCTCATCCATGTCCAGATATACAGACATTTTATTCATAAAAGCTTTAACCAGATCAGGATAGATAATACCAGAGTCGGTGACGAACTTGTCGATACGCTGATATTCCAACAGAGTAGGAAAATCAAAAGATATTGCAGGAAAAGCTCGAAGATTCACATACTTTACCGGCATAAGTTGACGAACACGCACTTTGAAATCCATCCGTCTCTTTTTGGTGGTTTCCATTGGAATACTGTCGTCATCTGATTCTGATGCAGAATGATGTTCTGGAAGTTTTCCCTTGCCGCGGTTTGATGCTGAAGCCATGGATGGAGGTTTGAGAGAACTGGGGTTGTGGGTTCTGAGGAAGTTAGGGTTTGAGAAATTGTGGGGAGTTTTTCCAACTTTTAAGAGTGGGAGAGAGAAGTTAGGATTTTAAGAGGGAATGTGGATTTTGGATATGGATGTGGATATTTAAGAGAATATGGACCACACAAAATATATAAAGAAAAATATAAAATTTTCAAAAAAATGTAATTAATTTTCGTTTCTGATTTTTTGAAAAATTAACAGTGTTAATCGGTTAACCATATAGGTTAATCGGTTAACACATTAAAAAATTTAATCAGAATTGAAAATTCAATAGTGTTAATCGGTTAACCCATATGGTTAATCGATTAACATGCTCGAATTTTTGAAAAATACATAAAAACAGAATGCATACACATGAAAACATATCACAAATAATGCATACATATAATAGAGACAAGGATCAGATGTCACCTTCATCAAGAATTCCAAGTTCTCTCCGAATTTTGTAGAATGATTCTTTTGCCAAAGGCTTGGTGAAGATGTCGGCGAGTTGGTTGTGTGTGTCGACAAAAGTAACATCAACATCTCTGTTTAATACGCGATCTCGAAGGAAATGATGTCGGATATCGATGTGCTTTGTTCTGGAATGCATAACCGGATTCTTTGTGATATTTATGGCACTAGTATTGTCACATCGTAGAGGAATGCATCCGAGGTCAACACCATAATCCAGAAGTTGTTGTTTCAGCCATAAAATCTGTGCACAGCAACTTCCTGCGGCGATGTATTCTGCTTCGGCGGTGCTGAGTGCTACACAAGCTTGCTTCTTGCAGGCCCATGATACTAGAGCATTTCCGAGAATATGACATGTACCACTTGTACTTTTTCTATCGGTTTTGCATCCTGCATAGTCAGCGTCAGAATAACCAACTAAAGAACAAGTACTACCTTTAGGATACCATAATCCGACGTTGGTCGTTCCTTTGAGATACTTGATAATTCTCTTCACAGCAGTGAGATGCGATTCCTTCGGATTTGCTTGGAAGCGCGCACACAAACAAACACTAAACATAATGTCAGGACGACTTGCCGTCAAATATAGTAATGAACCAATCATACCTCGATATTTAGTAATATCAATTGGAGTACCAGATTCATCTTGATGAACATATGTTCCGGATCCCATAGGAGTAGACATCATCTTGCAACTATCCATATCGAATTTCTTTATTAATTCCTTACAGTACTTGGATTGGTTGAGGAAGATTCCATCCTTGGTTTTCTTGATTTGTAGTCCAAGAAAATAATTTAACTTTCCCATCATGGACATCTCGAATTCTTCTCGCATCATGAGTGAGAATTCTTCGCACAGTTCTTTGTTTGTTGATCCAAATATGATGTCGTCGACGTAGACTTGTACTAACAAGGTGTTACCCTTGATCTTCTTTATAAACAGCGTCTTGTCAACCTTTCCTTTTGTAAATCCTTTCTCACATAAGAAGTTGCTAAGGCGATCATACCATGCTCGTGG